AGGGCAGCCGAAGGCAGCCGTGAGCGAGCAGGGGGAGCTTCCAGCATTCCGCAGCTCGATGTCATCGCTTTCACCCAGGACATTGGGTAAAAGAACTTGGCGAAACAGTAGACTTTTTCTTCCTTGCCCCCCACCCCCACCAACTAGAACTATTTTTCAAAGGTTTTCCTTTCTGATTATAAAAGTAGTGTGTACTTATTACAATAAGTAATATAAGAAAATATAAAACACATAAAACACACACACAAGGAAATAAGAAAATGAGAACTTTTATCATTCCACTTTCCAGAGATACATACATCACCATTTTAGTGAATGCATCAAATTGGATTTATTTATTTAACAGATCTGCTATGGGTAGCAGATAGAGTCTTCCCATTATTTTTGCCATTCCATATGATGCTTCAATGGACATACTTTGCAATGAATAGTTTCCCCATTTGAGATTATTTCTTAATAATTTTGTATTAACTGACTTATTAAAACAGTGTAGGTATATCTGAATACGTATATATGAATACAATGTACATACACATTTATTTTTTAATGATTTTTATATCTATTGCTAAATGCCTTCGATAGATCATAACATTTTATCCCCCTTGCAGAAAAGAATGAGACCGCCATTTTCCCACACACAGAATCCCACAGGTTCAAGCATTCCTATACTTCCAAACGTTTGATGTATAAGCCTTTGTGAAGAGGAACAAAGCCATGCCTCAGATCAAAGTCAGGCCACATCTGCTTGTCACCAACAGATGGCGATGGCTGCTACTGGGAGGGTGTCTCTTGAACTTAGGAATGGATTGACTTAAGCAGTCTGTATTTTATTTATTTATTTATTTATTTATTTATTTAATTGAAGTATAGTCAGTTGAATGTGTCAATTTCTAATGTACAGCACAATGCCTCAGTCATGCATACAAACATATATATGATTTCATTAAATGTTATTATAAGATATTGAATATAGTTCCCTGTGCTATATAGAAGAAATCTGTCTTTTATCTGTTTTTATATATAGTGGTTAACCTTTGCAAATCTCAAACTCCCAAATTTAAGCAGTCTTTTAGAAGTTAATCTTTAAGCTATAGCCAGCATAGTAATTACTCAATGGTGAAAAACTCAAAAGCTTCCCACTAAAATCTGGGACAAGTCAAGGCTGCCCACTATCACCACTCCTACTCAACATAGTCTTGGAAGTCCTAGCCACAGCAATCAGGCAAGAGAGAGAAATCAAAGGGATCCAAATTGGAAAAGAAGAGGTAAAAGTGTCATTATATGCAGATGACATGATACTATATATAGAAAATCCTAAAAGGTCCACACAAAAACTACTAGAACTAATCGAAGAATTCAGCAAGGTAGCAGGTTACAAGATTAACGTTCAAAAATCAGTTGCATTTCTTTACACTAACGATGAATCAACAGAAAAAGAAAGTAAAGAAACAATCCCCTTTCAAATAGCACCCAAAGTAATAAAATACCTAGGACTAAATCTAACCAAGGAGGTGAAAGAATTATACACAGAAAACTATAAACCACTGATGAAGGAAATTAAAGAAGACTTTAAAAAATGGAAAGATATCCCATGCTCTTGGATTGGAACAATCAATATTGTTAAAATGGTCACACTGCCCAATGCAATCTACAGATTTAATGCAATCCCTACCAAATTACCCAGGACATATTTCACAGAACTAGACCAAATCATAATAAAATTTATATGGAACCACAGAAGACCTAGAATTGCCAAAGCGTTACTGAAGAAAAAGAAAGAGGCTGGAGGAATAACTCTCCCAGACTTCAGACAATACTATAGAGCTACGGTAATCAAGACAGCATGGTATTGGTACCAAAACAGACATATAGACCAATGGAACAGAATAGTGAGCCCAGAAGTGAACCCACAAACTTTTGGTCAACTAATCTTCAACAAAGGAGGCAGGAATATACAATGGAATAAAGACAGTCTCTTCAGCAGATGGTGTTGGGAAAACTGGACA